CCCCCCCCCCCCCCCCCCCCTCCCCCCTCTCCCACCATGGCCTAACGACTACGGCATGCACGACTATGAGTTCGCCATCAGAACAAGACTTTGGTACTCAGAGTTTGTCGCGGTTTCGGATGCCAAGGCACTCCCCCCATGCGCACACCGGACCGCTCCTCAAAACTCGCTCGAACAGCTCGAACGATATTTGCTCCTGGCACATTTACGCGTGCGTGACGAGCAGGCAAAAGCAAAAAACGCAGGGTGGTTGCGGTGAAAAAACAGCTCACGAGGGAAGTGGTTGAAAGAGCGGTCATGGCGTCATGGCACAGATGGTAAGGGGGAAGAGGGAGATAGGGAATGGATAGGGAGACAAACAACAACCGAGAGGGTGGGAGCAAGGGCCCGAATAGAGTGCGGAGGACCACTATCTTCCGACCAAGGTTCGATGAATACGAAAGCAACATTGTTCCAACCACACGGATGCTAACAATGCGTGCCTGCATTGCAGCCACAGCAGTTTGTATCAAGTAGAGGCATTTGTTGAACGGAACCCACCAGCCTACACTCCACAACCGTCCCTACCGACAAAACCGTAGGCTACATGGCGGCAACTCGATCAATGGGCACAGAGCGAAACGGAGGGGAGAGCTGATCTCGACACGTCGACGGAGACGGACATCACCAACAAACTTAACAAAACATCCACCACAAGAAGTGCAGACACCGATTCTACTTTGATATCCCAAGGTTTCAAGAAAGACACCTACGGGAGGCTTTACCCATTGCCGAGTGGGCCACACACTATCACGGCTATGTAGTTGAAAAACCACGACGGCTGCTACGACTACCCACCTCCTGCGCTGGGTCGTACGCCGGCGCGAGCTTCCGCTCTATCCATCCCTTAGTCCTCTTCTCCTCGTCCTCGTGGAGGGACAGGAGGCCCTCGAGGAAGGCGTCTCTCCCAGAGGCCAACCGGTACTGCTGCACGGGCCAGACCCGACTCTCGTCCTTTACGGCGTACCTGAGGGCCCGCACAGGCAAACGGGGTGAGCAAAAACACTAATGCTCAAGAACGATGGGTAGATAAATTCCGCTAAAGGTTCACATAAATAGTGTTGTCACCCGCTTTGGTCAGAACGGGGTACCCGGACTGGGTACCCGGTTCTGAAATTACCCGGCCGGTTCCGGGTCCACCGATTGATACCCGGGTATTTCGGCTACCCGGGTACCCGGTTGCTTCGATACACGGCGCCCCCAGAATGTAGCGTTCTTCTTGGGCGTCCAGAATGAAGTTGTTTCACCGAGGGTGTGATGAAGGACACGGCAAACCCCCGGCCGTTGACGTTTCACTTTCAACGGCTGAGTTTGGGAGGGAGGGAGGGAGGAGTACTACACGACGAACGGTGATAACGTCCTACCCGTGAAATGAATATGGCTGCTATTGTTCAAGCGCTTTTTGTTTTCCACCTACGGGGCGCGGGGTAGCGGGGACGCTGAAGAAAATCCGTCCTTTTCGCCTTCGGCGAATTTTGTTGCCTGCGGAGGAGGGAGGCGTACTACATAACGGTCGTAGCGTAGCCCTTAAACGAATTTGTGTACTTTGGTGTCCAAGCAATGTTCACGCGCTTCTCTATTCCACGAGTGGGGTACGGGGCGGCGGGGTTGCTGCCTACATTTTTCATTTTTTTTTCTGTGTTTCCTTCCGCCTTCGGTCGGTCCTGTTTTCGTACTTTTGGTGCGGACGTGGTATCGCGATGGGGGGAAAGGATTTTTTTCGTCCGGTCCACTTGTATGTTCTTCATTATTGGGTTTGGCCTGTGTCCACGGAAGGCGTCCGCGCCAGGACCGGTGAGGATATTGCAAGGTACTGAGCGGAGACAGGAACGATTTCACATGCAACAACGTACTGTCTACGTAGGTGTTTGGTGGCCTAGCTGCCGTACGAAGAGCGCAACATTTCGTCGTGGTGCGGAACACACCGAACGCAAAACTAATAAATAGTGATGGCAAAGGAGAGTGTTCTTGTGCGTGTGTTGACAAAGTCCAGCAATTGAAAATGCCGGGTCACAACCCTTTATCGCACAACATGTATGCCTAGCTACGTAGATTATGTACATGCTGATGCTCTTTTGCCCTTCTTGCAGCAGAGAAAGAACGCAAGCAATCAATGTATTCACAGCAGGACCACAAAAAGACTTGGAGGTCGGCCTTTGTTCGGCATCGTCTTCTGGCAGGTCACAATGCTCTGTGACCATTGTTAGTTGTTTGGGGTACTTGGATACAAGATCCGATCTGCAGAGAATATGTTTGCGGGGGGTATACTGTTGGGGGTTCAAGTGCGGGCCCCCTCGTGAGAACCCGTGCTTGTGTTCACTGAAACAGGACCTGTACTGACTTCGGTCCGTGCTGGAAGAGCACGTGTGTGTTAAATCAAATATATATATCATTTACATCGGTCCTCTGGGTTAACATAGTCCCGAGACAGGAATCATACCGTGGGTGGGCACGGCAACCTCCGTGGGTGGTCACGGGGGTACAGAAACACGATTTTAATCGTGATTAATCGTATAATCGACCGATGTCGGATGAACATGCTACAGAGAAGGAAGCAGCTGCGGACNCAGGACCTGTACTGACTTCGGTCCGTGCTGGAAGAGCACGTGTGTGTTAAATCAAATATATATATCATTTACATCGGTCCTCTGGGTTAACATAGTCCCGAGACAGGAATCATACCGTGGGTGGGCACGGCAACCTCCGTGGGTGGTCACGGGGGTACAGAAACACGATTTTAATCGTGATTAATCGTATAATCGACCGATGTCGGATGAACATGCTACAGAGAAGGAAGCAGCTGCGGACAGGGCAGCAGCCGCGGCGAGGGCGGTAGAGGAATTGAGGAAGAAAGTCCAACTAGCGATGGACAAGATCGCTGCGATAGAGAGTGCTGGGAAGGCAGCAGGTGGTCAAGCTGGGTGGGCAGCTGGAGGAGGTGTACATGCCGGGGGTGGGCCCGGTGGATCAGAGAGATTATTTTTTGACAAGGACGGAAGGATCGATGCAAATCATTTTTTTTCAGAGAGAGAGGGGAAGAAGCCCCATGCGTGGTACGGTGGACACCAGCAGCAGGTGACGAGAGGAGTGCAGCAGCAGAGCAGCAGCCACAACCAATTCCTTACAGAGCACAGCCGGTACCAGCATCAGCAGCAGCTGGTGCCCAACGAACGCACACGCCCTCCTGCTGCTCCCCCTCCCGAGCAGCAGCACCAATGCAGCTGCTGTGGAGAGAAAGGTCATGTTCATCAGTATTGCAAGTTCAACCTTGCCCGCGGACCGTTTCAGCAGCGGAGGAGCGGTGGCTTTGGCGGCGGGTCTGTGTTCCAGCAGCAGCAGCAACAACAGCAGCAAAGCCAGGCGTANCAGCAGCAGGTGACGAGAGGAGTGCAGCAGCAGAGCAGCAGCCACAACCAATTCCTTACAGAGCACAGCCGGTACCAGCATCAGCAGCAGCTGGTGCCCAACGAACGCACACGCCCTCCTGCTGCTCCCCCTCCCGAGCAGCAGCACCAATGCAGCTGCTGTGGAGAGAAAGGTCATGTTCATCAGTATTGCAAGTTCAACCTTGCCCGCGGACCGTTTCAGCAGCGGAGGAACGGTGGCTTTGGCGGCGGGTCTGTGTTCCAGCAGCAGCAGCAGCAACAGCAGCAGAAGCCAGGCGTGATGTATGGCAGCACTGGTGGATTTCAGCAGCAGCCGCAGCAACAACAGCTGGCGGCCGGCTCCACCCGTGGTGTGGTTGGACAGGTGAGTGGTGGGGTGTTTGTTGGCGAGAAGGGGGGGGAGGCTGCTGCGGGGTCGTTTGTGGCGTCTTTGCTGGTAAAAGCCCCCGCCAACGTATCTTCTCTCAACGCAGTTACGCACCCCGCCACTCATTCTCCCCCGCGACCCACGACATCACGTGTAGCACCTGCAGTCGCGCGGAAACGCGCAGAGCTGGATCTCAAGGAGGCCGGGTACGGTACNTGTGGTTGGACAGGTGAGTGGTGGGGTGTTTGTTGGCGAGAAGGGGGGGGAGGCTGCTGCGGGGTCGTTTGTGGCGTCTTTGCTGGTAAAAGCCCCCGCCAACGTATCTTCTCTCAACGCAGTTACGCACCCCGCCACTCATTCTCCCCCGCGACCCACGACATCACGTGTAGCACCTGCAG